AAATAAAACTAAATTTAAAGTAACGGGATTACAATAAAATATAAAAAAAAATAAAAAAAAATGAAATTAAATAAATTAAATAAAATAAAATCAAAACAAGAAAGAAAAAAAATATAATAATATAATAAATAAAAATATAAAATGAAACTAAGATAATAATTTGAAATCCCAAAATCCAGACTCATAGCTTTTCTAAGAAAAAAATTAACAAATACAAAATAATCACAAATTAAAAATAAATAAAAAATAATCACAAATTAAAAATAAATAAAATATAATCACAAATAAAAAATAATTAACAAATTATCATAAATTAAAAATAAATAAAAAGTAAGTACAAAATAAATATAAAAATTAAATTAAAGTAATGGAGCTAAAATTAAAAAAATAAAAAACTGAAACATAATGAAATTAAGTAAATTGAAATAAATAAAATCCAAACAAAAAATAAATAAAATATAATAAAATAATAAAATAGAAATTGTAAATAAAATAAAAAAAAAATGTGAAAACCTAAAAACCAGATTCAAGGCCATTGTAACAAAAATAAAAATAAAAATTAAATGAATAAAAAATAAGCAAGGAATAAAAATAAATGTAAATAAAATTAAAGTAACGGAATTAAAATAAGATAATTAAAAAATTTAAGCAAAATGTAATAATAAAATATGTAGTAAAAAAAATTTAAAAAAATTAGTTAAAATAAAATAAACAAATATATAACATAAATAAAATAGTTATAAAAATATATAACTATTAAGGAATTATAAGTTTGGATGGAACCGTATATAGACACCCCGACGATATTTACATCAAACGTCAGGCACTAAGTCTTTCAAAGACGTGCTGACGACCGGACAGACAGTTTGGCTACATCGCTTCGTATCGTCATTCCAGGAATCTGATATATCCAAATATATGGAGTGAATAACTAAAAGGGGGTATTCGCTTAATAAGAAATACATGCTTTGCAAAAATTTTATGCTGCGTCCAATATTCGGCCGACATAATGTCCCAGCAGTCGGTAATTCGAGCAACGATCGATCGGATCTTCAAAGACGCCGTACAGAGCTCAAGAAGACCACACGTGTAAGAATTGAAGACGAACGACCATCAAGCCCGCCATCGATCACGATTTTCACAAGATCATTTTACTTACGGCTGGAATTTATTCATTTAAAAAGAAAAAAGGACTTTTTATCTTATGTATTTTTAACGTTAAACATTATCTGTTAACGGTGTAACTTTAACGACAGCGTTTCGTTTCGGGTGAAAACGAAAAGAAATTTATTTTGATAACTGGCTCTTCGTTAATATTTCCGAATGTTCCAAAAGCAGCCTTGGTATGAACAAATGCAGCTAATTCAAATCAAAAAGGCAATGAGAGAGAGACAGATATGAGTGAATACTGAAAATCTCTTCTTTTCGTGGTACAAGTATTAAGCTAAAGTTATAAAGCAGTCAATTACTTAAGAAAAATTAATTTTTTTGGACGGGTAAAAAATTAATAATACAACATTCAAAGTGTGAAAAAAGCTCGAACAAATAAAAAAGAAAAAAAAAATTATAAAATCTTCAATTAGAGTTGGACATGAAATTTGATTATAAAAGAAGAGCAATAAATACATACATATCTACATACTTATGTTGCCTCATTTTCAGCCTGAATCCGACCGATACCATGCAATAAATGAGTTTTGAACATTGAACATTGCAAAACGATAAGTGCAAAAAACAAAAACACACCGACAACAACAAGCCCAACGTGCGGTATTATCTTAAAACTATGCCAACACAGACGGTGCAAGCGATGATAAATGTGCAAATAGGCCAGCTATGGTAGTGCAAATTTGCCGTTCGGCACTTAGGCAACTCATAAAGGGTGATTTTTCAAGAGCTATAAGAAAGTTTTTTAATAAAAACACATAAAATTCAGAAAAAGGCAGAAATCTTTATTTGAATCGATAGTACGCTCCATATAACTTTATATTTGAAGACTATTTCATGTAAATGTTGACCGTGACTACGCCTCAAATGGTCCAACTGCTTAGTTCAATTTTGGCATACTCTTTCTAACATTTCGGCCGGTATCTCACGAATAAAAGCTTCAATGTTTTCCTGCAATGCCCCAACTGAAGCGGGTTTGTCTGTAGAGACATTAGATTTAATATATCCCCATAAAAAATAGTCTAAAGGCGTTAAATCGGATGATCTAGGATAGGAGGCCAAATGACTGATTCTGGACGTGAAACAAAATGTTCACCGAACTCGCCTCTTAATAAATCAATTGTTACGCGTGCTGTGCGGCATGTAGCACTGTCTTGCTGAAACCATATGTCATGCAAGTCGAACTCTTTTATTTTGGGCATAAAACTGTTTGATATCATCTCATGGTAGCGCTCACCATTCAGTTACGTTACGATTCGCATCATCTTTGAAGAAGTACGGTCCAATGATGCCACCAACCCATAAACCGCACCAAACTGTGACTTTTTCTGGATGCATTGGTAGCTCCTGCAATGCTTCTGGCTGATTTTCACTCAAAAATCGACAATTGTGCTTATTTACGCACCCATTAAGCCAAAAATGAGCTTCAAAGCGCGTGCGGAAAAAGCGCGCGATGAACTTTCTTAACAGAGCACGCATTTCGATAATAAAATTCAAAATTTTGCAAGCGTTGGTCGGTAGTAAGACGATTCATGGTTAAATATAGAGCAAACTGAAGATGTTTGACAGTGATACAAAACACGAAATGTGTGGCAGCTGTTTAAGCCAGTGTTGCCAAAGAGGTAATAGCCAAAAAATCCCCCTTTATATACATCTATATACATATGTTGTTTGCTCATAAAATAAAGTTAAGCGGCAAATTTACCTTTATTTGTATAACAATTTGATTAAACGACTATAATTGATTCCTCCTGTATGTATGTACAAACATACACATATGCACTAAGGTGTTGACAACCCGATAAAGAAAAAATATACTCTTTTCATACATATAATATGTACATACAACCGTACATAATGCTGGAGTACACAACAAAACATTTAGATATTTATTTATGTCTGTACATAGATACGTACGTGTATGTATGTTTATATAACTAAACAGCGTGCAAGCAGCCACGCACAGGTGCCAACGGCTTATCAACAGCCAAGTGTTAACGCTGATAATGATTTAAAAAAAAAAAAAACAATAATAATAAAACAATCAACATAGCAGTGCCGATGAACGGCAAAACAATTTGTAGTAAAACATTTGTGCACTTTTTCGTGTATGTTTGTATATATGCACATGTGTATGTAAGCTGAACAATAAATGTTTAGCGGCTGCAAACCAGTTGAACCCATCAAAAGGGTTCGGCACTCTTACATATTGTACATACATACATATATGAGTACAAGCTTTTTACTCATGATCGAGACTTGGACTTCGTATCGGCTCTTTGCCTCTCATTTATAAACATTTTTTTTATCATAAAATATAAAGCACGATTTTAAACACACGCTTCTTTTGGAAACGTATTTCTTTGTAAATATATAAATATGTAATTGTTTATCATTCAGCTTGATGATGCTGCTTTGCTAAGCGTGCGAAACCAAAATTTTTCCTTCGCTTATTTTAACATCAAATTCACTTCTTCGTCACGTGTAGGGTATGTGGTACATACATATGTATGTATGTATGTTTACTACTTGCGTGTCTACAATACTCCTGATAGCTGATTCTTAAACATTACGCGCGCGTGTTGTATTATTGTTGTGTTTGTTGTTAATAATTACTTTTGGATGAAATACGGCTGGCTGCCTTGAAGAGAGTATTGACTGAATTCTCAATAGTTTTTTTGTTTGTTTTCTTTTTTTGAAGGTGTTTCGAAGGCAGCAAAATGCATGCTTCTAGTTGACATTGAATTGCGAGAAGAACAACAATAAAAACTAGCCAATATATCTAGATGATATACCAGAAAAAAAACTTAAGTATTTTGTATAACTTAAATGTGTGTTTTTAAGTAATCATAAAGGGTGATTTTTTAGCTATTATCTTTTTGGCAACACTGGCTTAAACAGCTGACGCACATTTCGTGTTTTGTGTCACTGTCAAACATCTTCAGTTTGGTCTATAAATTAACCATGAATCGTCTTACAAACGACCAACGCTTGCAAATTATTGAATTTTATTACCAAAATGTGTGCTCTGTTAAGAAAGTTCATCGCGCGCTTTTTCTGCACGCGCTTCGAAGCTCATTTTTGGCTTAATGGGTGCGTAAATAAACAGAATTGTCGATTTTGGAGTGAGAATCAGCCAGAAGCATTGCAAAAGCTAGCAATGCATCCAGAAAGTCACAGTTTGGTGCGGTTTATGGGCTGGTGGCATCATTGGACCGACCGTACTTCTTCAGAGATGATGCGAATCGTAACGTAACTGAATGGGGGGCAAAATGCAAGAGCTTGACTTGCATGACATATGGTTTCAACAAGACGGTGCCACTTGTCACACAGCACGCGTAACAATAGACTCACTGTCAGGCGAGTTCGATGAGCATTTTATTTCACGTCCAGAATGGTCATTTGGCCTCATATCCTAGATCATCCGATTTAAAGCCTTTAGACTATTTTTTGTGGGGATATATTAAATCGAATGTCTATACAGACAAGCTCGCTTCAAATGACGCATTGGAGGACAACATTGAAGGATTTATTCGTGAGATATCAGCCGAAATGTTAGAAAGAGTATGCCAAAATTGTACTAAGTGGATGGACCATTTGAGGCGCAGTCAACATTTGCATGAAATAATCTTTAAACATTAAATTATATGGCGCGTATTATCGCTTCAAATAAAGATTTCAAGCATTTTTCTCAATTGTAAGTGTTTTTTTTTTTGAATAACTTTCCTAGAGCTCGTAAAAATCACCCTTTATAAATTATATATTTATAAGTATATTCACATATATAAGTACATTTCTAAAAACACTATTTTCTGCAAAAAAAAAATACTTACTGTTTGAGCGAAGCGGTGATTTGATTCATTCGATAACGCTGATGTTTTATTTCATTAAAGCATTTTTGTTGATGGCTGTGAAGCTGCTCCAGTAACTCAATATATCGGCTATTGCATTCCTGTGGAGAAAATTTTTTTTTTAATAAAATGAATAACTTAACACAAAACTTTTCCATAAATTTGAAGTTAAAAATATATTTTTCAAAATTTGGCAACTGGTTTTTAGCAAGCTGTGAATCTGAAATGCCGCAAAGAAGATTTTCATAATGCGCACAGCTTTTATGGCAATGAATATTCTAGCGTAAAAAAATAAGAAATAAAAAATGCTTGCATAATGGCCAGACCGGAAGCCAAAATAAAGGTCAAAGCGCATATTTTAGACATTGACAGATACATTATAAATATTTTGCAATAAAAAAGTTCAAAATAACCAAATGTATACATATAAGTGTACATAAATATATGTATTTTTTGAAACTGTTTTAAAAATGCACATTTTTTTATGAGAGAAATACACTTCCGAAAAGCATATGCGAATTTTTATTCGCTTCTTTAGGAGCATTATGTTTTTAACTGTAAATATTTTACACCTTTCTTTAAAATTGTTTAGTAGTTGGAACATAATTTCGAAATTGTGATGTTATCACAAGCAGAGAAACAGCTAATTGATGACTCATAAAAAGCTTTTATTTAATTAAAGTTGTGAAAATTTGACGCTTTGTCTATACAAGTATGCAAAATACATATTTACGTATAATTTATCACCGCGTTTATCTTTTATTTACTATTACATACTGACTTTTATCTCGACGGTTTCGGAGCACTTTTTTCAATTTAACTATTGGCATTAAGACTATTAGTTTAAACTTATTTTTTTTTTTGTATTTTCCTTTATATTGCATAGAGTGTCATCAGCTCAACAGTTGATTTTTTACTTTTACTTAAAAATATATTTTTAAAATATTCACTTTAATTTCCCCCACTTACCTCAAGTTCGTTGTACTCTTTGGTGAGCTCTTCAAACTCATTTCGCAATGTGTCAATATTCATTTTGTCCTTGTGTCCTAACGCACTCCTTCCTAAACTCCAAACTCACCACGTTGAAAGCAATGCAACTCGACCGACACTCGACCGACACAAGAGAACGGAAGAAGCGTAAAGGAAAAAATTCAAAGAGTGTAGGAGTATGTATTATTTGCGCTGATAACACTTTGTTTACAAATTGTAGTTTTGTAGCAATCTAATCACAATCAGCTGGTTATGTTTGAGGTTATGTGCGTGTACAACAGCTGCCAGCGATTGGAATGCAGTGAAAACTGTTCATTTGTGTATTGTACCAATTATTGTAGTTATAATTATTTTGACTTGACTGGTTGAACCGAGAAAGGCAAACAAAGAAATAAAATTAAACACAAGCGACGCTACCTAAATAGGGGTGGAAGAACCGATTACTTTAATATATAAAGCTAAGGGCAAAATTAAAACGAATGCACATTCCAGGAAGGAATAAAATAGTACACAGCCACGTTTTATAGTGCGGAATTATACCGCGCAGTTAGTTGTCACAAAGGATTTATGCTTCGGACGAGGCGAGCAACAAGCGAGTGCAAACAACTGTACGCCACTATGTGTTTGGATGACGTACAAAGGTAAACGACGTCAACAGTCCGTACATGTTTCTATTGTATTTTTTTCATTTATTTTTTTGTATTGTATATGTCTGTACATATATTTCGCTTTTCACTTTTGTCTGCTCCCGTGGGCGTGGGTACACGTAATTTCGTTTTATTTAAGCAACTTACATCAAATTCAAATAAAATGCTTATTCACGTCAAAACACAATCTTTTATTTTCTCACTACCACGTACGACTTTTGAAAGCGCGGTGCTTTAACCGCTCGCTATGAGTACTTCTAAACAATTGAATTGATTTTGTCAAAAATATATTCAGAAATTCTGCTGGCTTATAAACGTCTAGGAAAATATGTAAACGCATGGACCCAACACACTCTCCCACTATCATGGGTCCACGTCTTCTCATATACTCACGCCACTCTTCGCGCTCAACGCGCACTGTGTACTGTCTGATTAGATAAATTATTTCACCAATACAATACTAACCGAATTGTATTGTTTAAACTTTTAATAACAAAAAGCTCCAGCAAAGGCAGGCAAGGCGTGCACACATACAAGCCACGCCAGCAGCGGAATAGTCACGACACTTGGTAAATGAATTGTTTCGTTTTCTCCCCCCGCATTAACTGTATTGTTTACACTTTCACATATTCGTAAATAAATTATGATTAGTTTGTGGGCTCGGCTTCCGCAAGATTTATGTAATTTTTCTTTAATAAATCGATTTCCGTTGCAATTTACCTTCTGAAAATTGTTCACACCGGCGATTTCTGCGCATTCCTTTTTGTTATTTCTTTTTATGTCTCATTTTTTGCTTTCTACCGTTTGGCAGCTGTTCCCATTCGCCTTGCTGTCAATTTGACATTCTACTATGTTGAGTTTTGTGCGGTGGTGAATATACTACATTGCATGGTAAAATAATTTGAAATATTACGGAAGTACATATTTGAGTACTTGAATGGAACCGGAAAATTAATTAATTTTAAGATAGTGCTTGATTTTGTATTACATCTAACATTTTTTTGCTTTAATCATCAATTAAAACTGGGAAAAAGAAACGCGTAATTAAATGTAAGTAAAACTCAAAAGTCGTATTTTCGAACTACAGCGGTAAGTGGAATTGATAGACTTTAAAGTTCTTTGTTGTTAAAGTGACTTAGGCATCTTTCATTATCCAAGCAGAATTGAAGAAATGACAGCTCTTACTGTGATAGCGTAAAACGTTTGTGTTCGAGATAGTTTTATTTTCGCAGCATGATACTAATATAGGCATGTCTACGACAACCGGAGGCAATTGCGTATTCTAAATCCGAAAGTGCGAATAAACCAATTTTAAATATTCCAATAAGGTGTGGGATCAAGAATTACGGAGATTAGGTACACAAACTATACTTGCGTTAAGAGCAATCTGTCGAAAAAATTAGTAAAATCCACTAGTTTCTACGATTGTCAGGTCTTTAAAGAGAAACGACATAGATTATATAGGTTACAACCACAACATGTCCCAAAAAAAAAAACCAATATTTGTGCTAACAAATATAAAAATCTCAGTCGTCTGTTTAAAAATGTGTGAAACAAAGAAAATCCCAAGTTTTACTCGGTGAATTCCAATTGGACGGTAGCAAATCAGAATTATCGTGTGCTAGAGTTGTATTCTTGGAAGTGCCAGAAATCTGTTTTCCACCTGATTGAAGCAAAGACCACTTCTCTAGCAAGGAAGTACTAGACTTTGCAGATTTCAATCAGCAAATATTAGGTTTAGTAAAAAGAAATCCATTAATTTTTCATGAAATTTAAGGCTTTAATTTTTGTTTTCATATCCAGCCTTATTCAAATGGTCCCAAACGGTTTTTTGTGCAATCTTTAGCTCTTGGACAATCGAACAATTGCTTACTTGGCATGACGGTCGGACTCGCCATTGTCCATGATTTTATTGAAATTTCCGACAATTGACCTGCCACTCCGTGAAGCAACCGAAACTATGCATGATTGACCGTTATAGTATCAGGATCATTGACGTTATTCAAATTTTCATCCGCTTGGCATGCGTTTTCGCCCTTATCGAAGAAAAACTGTAAGATATAACGTAATGCCATCTTTGACGCACGCTCAAACAAAACTGAATCAACCAATCACAAGACTGCCAGTTTTTTTTAGTATGAAATGTCATCTTTCTAACGCCATCTAGAGGAACCTGATCGACCTTTTACAACGCTATCTGTATCTCGCGTAACGCTATTTGTTGGAAAAATAATGTATTTCTTTTTACTACACCTAAAATATGCATTACAGAATCGTGGTACGAAAAGCGAAATACCTCAAACGTAGTTTATAGAGAGTCCGTCAACATCTTCATGTTGTTGTTGTGGCCCAAAAACGTTTCCCAAAGTACTTGGCCAATAAAACCTCGGGTCCTTTCGCTATAAAGACTAGACTGTCCCAGGAATTTATGATTTATCAACATCTTCATCAACTTTCTTCCCGTCAATGGCGTTTTCGTAACTCAATAGTCACCTATGGAAGGCGAAGAGTCCCATAGGCTTCATGAGACTCTAATAATAGGTACAAACATCAAGGGCTGGATAATAGGCTCAACTCTCACTTCTCTAGAGTCAACCACGGCACAACTAACGTAGGTGTAATGAGTTTCTGCAGCACCTTTTTGTGCACGTCAACTGAAACTTACTCCTCTATGTGACCCGCGCCCGTCGGCGCACTCAGCTCGTACCTTATGCTTACCCTTAAACGATCTCGACTAACTTTGTCTGCTCTTAAATGCGGTTAACCAGCCACTACAAGCGGAAGGAGAAAAACAACAGCAACAGCGATCTAAATATACTACAAACAGTAGTCTGAACCTGGCAAAAGTGACGGGCTGCTGTCAACCTTTTGATCAGATTGTTACATTCATTCAGGAACTTCTTGGTTTTTGTTTACAGCTCCATTGCAAATGCCATTTAGAGTAAATAAAACATAAACTTGCCAAAGTTATCGATTTATTATATGATAAATGCGTGTTCGTACAAAACTAATTATTTAAAACCAAAAAATCTTATAGTCTAGACATTCCTCCTTCCCCACTCATTCCTTTCGACGTGCGCGCATAGTTAGCGCTATATAAGCGGATATTCGGAAGCCCACAATCAGCAACGCCAATCCAATGAAATCGAATGGTAGATCACTCGCTGAGAAATTCAAAGTCTCCAATATAACCTCACCGGAGCTTGGGCAAGTGGTATTGGATAGAGTGCAAGTGATTTCTCCAGGCTTCACATCTGCCCATTGATTAATCAGTAAACCTTCATTGGCATAACGGAACCATGATAAGTACGACAACCATTTAAAGTACGCCGGTACCGAACCGGAGTTTAAAAAGAAGCCACCAAAAAGCAAAAATGGTATAATAACAGGTGGACCCACCGATAGAGCCATTGATGTCGACGAGCAAGCGCATGAAATCAAATAACCAAAGGAAGTTGAAACATTGGCTACTAAAGTGACAAGCGCCAGAGCGGTGAAGAAATGATCGACACCGGGACGTAAGCCAATGAGAGGATATGCGATGGCGGTGAAGAGAAACGGTACTACCAAGAAGAGCGGCAGTTCGGCAATGGTTTTACCCAAGAAGTAAGTGTCGCAGCGATACAGACGGCTACGTGTCTCACGCATGAAGACAGGCAGTTCGGTGGTGAAGACCTGCAGTAAAAGTTTCATTATATAACTATTAGTTGACAAGCTTTTGACAAATGCACTTACAGTTATGGTAGCGAAGGAATTTTGGAAAGTCATGTTGGTCAGAAACAAGAAAATGGCGCCGTTAATGTTCATAACACCGACTTGGGTTAATTGTTGTCCCAGAAAGATTAGTCCAATGAGAACAGCAACCATCTACAAGAAGAAAAGTGTAGTTAAGTGAGTTCATAATTATGAAACACTCTACGTTGCGTCCGTACTAACCGTCGTTTGTAATAGGCGCACTTTAACTAATAACGGTTCTTTCAATACCGACAGCCAAGAACGCCAAAGTACGGCACGGAATTGCATGAACCAGGAAGCTTTGTATGTGTATCCGTTTTCGTCCTCCTTACCAAAGCCATTGGACTTAACCAGCTTTTGAAAATTTTGCTCCATCTCGCGAGAGACCCTAGTCGAAATGGTAAATATTTTGAAAGCCACAAATGCTTTGAATCCATTGAAAACACTCACTTTCCGACTGCAAAATTATCACATATCTTGGCTATACGTTCACGTGATTCCACTTCCCGACCTGGTACTACAGCCAAAACTTGTACGTAAAAATCTGCTGGGTTGTAATTGGTTGGACAAGTAGCGCCAATGCTGTGGAGCAAAATGATAGTGAAAACTTCCTACAAAGTTATGTTCTTATAAACTTACTATGAGAAAAAGTCCACCGCTTCACCGGGTGTACCCAGAAAGGCAACTCTACCCTCTGCCATAAGTAATATTTTGTCGAAAAGTTCAAATAACTCCGAGGATGGTTGATGTATGGTCAATATAACAGTTTTGCCTTTCTGCGATAGCTTTTTCAACACCTGTACGACGCTGTGTGCCATGAACGAGTCCAAACCCGAGGTAGGTTCATCGCAAATTAATAGCGGCGGATCGGTTAACGCTTCCGAGGCGAATGCCAGTCGCTTACGCTCGCCACCCGATAAACCCTTCACCCGACCCGGCACGCCAATCAACGTATTCTGACATTTACCCAGCGAGAGGTCCTGTATAACTTGATCGACACGTTGTACTTTCTGTTTTTGTGTCATATGCCGTGGCATGCGCACCATTGCCTGGAAGATAAGATGCTCACGTGCGGTGAGCGAACCAATGAAAAGATCATCCTGCTGAACATAAGCACAACGTGCCTGCATTTCCTTTGCATCAACGGGATGACCGTTGAGCATGCGAATAGTGGAGGGCGAAATTTGCACACCCTTCGATGAACGAAAGGCAATCGCATTGAGAAGTGTAGTTTTGCCTGCACCAGAACTGCCCATTACAGCAAGTAATTCACCGGGGTAAGCGACGCCAGAGACTATATGATGGAGAAATGTTGTGAAATTTATGGAAACTACTATTTGTACAACCATGCTGGACACTCACCGTTTTTCAAGAGATGTTTGCGCGGCGCGGGTATATGACGCTCATTGCAGAAAACCCCCTTCACACGATTCACCAGCTGCTTCCAACTCGAGCCGGGCTGATGTACAGCGCCGAAGACGTCCAAATTGTACCAAGAGTAAGTGAGATTATCCGCGGTGAGTGCAGGCGATGGCGGTGAGAGTGTGCCATAATTTTTGCAAAATCCCTGATTTATAGAGGATTGCTCGTAGGGCTGCTCGTTGTTCTGGTGAGTAAACAAAATTAGATTTTATGTAAATTTTTCAAATTAACTGTTAATTTATGTTTGTTGTTGGTTAAAAATGTGGTAAAATGTAAGCAAGATCTTTAAAAACATTTTGGGCTTTCCAACCTCCCTCAACGCTCTTAAAAAATAATGTGCATTTGTCATTAACTTCAAAACTCGAAGGGGGAAAGCACGAGGTAAAACTCGCGAGCTAAATAACCTGTAAGAATTTTCTTCTTACCAAAATTAGCTAAAGTAGTTTTCCCGCCCAACGTAATTTATAGATAATAAAATAAAAACATAAATTAAAAAGTCCAAGAGGCGCATAAACCGCGTTAGCAGCTGTCTAAAGCGTAAATTGGATTTCGCAATTTCGGAGTAGAAAGAGCAACTGTGCTGCATAGGTGGCTTTCAGAATGGTGTGGGCATGTGTGTGTTGAGTTTTGGCAGTTAAAAAAAAACTCACAATTACTATAACAAAGTACTTCAAAGTAATAGCCACAAAAAAATAGAAGGAAAATAGCTTATGGTTGATTAGGTGAAAAAATTGTGGAAGAATCTTAAAAGTTTAATGGGAATTAGGTGGCAGGTCGAAATTGCATACGAGTAAGAGGCTATCGCCGAAGGTGCTACAAAATATTAACAGTTTGTTGTCAAAATTAACTGGCTTGCAATTGTTGTTGTGGGGCAGAGCATCGATGAAACTACGCAAGAGCTCATCCACCATCACGAGCAGTAATTGAAGCAGTGCCCATGCATTTTATAAAAGATTTTATTAAATCACCGAAAGTTTTTTTTAGCTTGCTTAATTAATAAATATACATAAATATATTTTTAAATTTAAATTTTTTTATTTTATTTTATTTTGCTCTATTTAATTTTATTTACTATTTATTTTACGCAATTTAATTTATTTTATTTTATTTTATTTTATTTTATTTTATTTTATTTTATTTTATTTTATTTTATTTTATTTTATTTTATTTTATTTTATTTTATTTTAATTTATTTTATTTTATTTTATTTATGTTATTTCATTTTATTTTATTTTGCAGCATTTTATTTTATTCTGTTTTATTTAATTTAATTTAATTTTACTTAAATTTTTTATTTTATTTATGTTTCATTTATTTTTTTTATTTAGTTTTGAATTTTTTGTTTTATTTGGTTCTATTTATCTGTTTTTATTTTTTAATTTTAATTTAGTTACATAATTTAATTTAATGCTTTCCTATTTTTATTTCTCGTTTTCTCTTTTTATATTAATTTTTTTTCATTTAAAAGGACAAAAAATATTTTGTATAAAAGCCAAATGCTAAAACTTCGCTCCAATTTTAGTTGTTGTATTTAATTTTCATTTCATCCGATAAATGCGGCTGAAAATATTCAACATCAATGGGGTGTAATCAGTAAAAATCTTATGAACCAACAGCAAAAAACACTTCGTAAAGTTTTTGTTGATTCGAAGTCAATAAACAAAATTAAATTTTTTTTTGTAAATTTTCGCATTTAACGGATATTACATTTTCACTTGATAATTTTATTCGCCGCATATTGCTTTAGTTCTTTTTCCACCTTGCCCATGTTTTTTACCAACTTAATTACATTGGATGCCTTAACGGTAACATAACTCACATTCTCACCCTCAGTTTTGGGAGAGGCATATATTGAAGCATGTTTAGACATTTCCAAATTTTCATAATGCTTAATAAACAAACAAGGGCTGTGGACAGAACATCTGCCTCAGGGGGGTCTGTGTAAACGCGCGCGAATCAAAAAAAAAGAAAGAAAAATATATATGTATGCCCACACCTGCTTTTGTGCTTAAATTATTCGAATCTTCATATTCACATCGTTGTACTTGTATTTAACGATGTTTACGTTATTTTTTATGATTATTGCTGCCAATTCTCATCTAAACTCTCGGCAACTGCAGAAGTGACCACAAGCTGTAACAATTTCATGGCGCTTTTATGAAAATTGAGGAGAAGGAGAGTAGAATTTGCGGGAAATTGAGATTTTGAGATTGCATTTTCGCAAATGGCCAATGGAAAATGAGGTGTTCAGGGAAATTAGACAAATTCAAATGAAATATGTGTGAGCGAGTGTGAGATAGAATAATTTAGAGCCAGAGGGTAATTATTTTTTTTCTGAATTATCCAAAGAATGTCTCAGCTGTTGGCGAAAAATATGGAAGTACTGCCATAATGGGTTGTATATATATATATAAATTTACTCTAGGTAACCGCTGAATCGATTTTTCGGCTGAGTTCCTCCTCCAATTTGTTGTTTTGCGTCTTGATTTTCTTCCAACAAATGGAATGATCTACAGTTAATACTAAGCCGTCTCAGAGCGGCTGCTGGTTTTTTTATGAGAAGCCTTTATTTCATGTCAGAAATGCACTCGGGGGGCCTGAAATTTCCCTGAATCATGGATACTTGCAATTAATTTCAATTTCCAGAATGTTTGTGATATCAGTAGACTAAATTCTACTAAATTTGATAATGATGGTCCATGGTTATTGGTCCACAAATTGGCAAACTCATATATATACATATATACATCAGGAAGTTTATTTTTGACCGTTCTGTACCCATAATTTGAAATATTTAGCGGTTAAATTTTTTTTAACGACTTGTGAGCATAATTCACAGCACATTTGTGACTTTGCGAATTGATTTTTCCATTGTGTGCGAGCGTTAAATGTCAAAAGCTACACGTCTGGCTTGTGAATGGTCAGCGGTTGGTGGTTTTCACTCGGTTAACTGCAAAATCTTGTACAAAATGCCGCCGCCAATTGAGAAATATGAACATACATATGTATGTAGTTGTCGGGCTCCTGATGTATTTTGAGAAATGTGGGAAACTGTGGTTGAGGTGGTGAATTACAGCTATTTTTGTTAAGAAATAATTTTTTAATTTCATTTTATACAATACACAAAGACAAAAAAAAAAATTATAAAAATGTCAGACTGAGAAATTCATACAGATAAAGCTAAGTAAAAGCAAATAACATCCTAAGCATGGAAGTAAATATGAGATAAAAATTCTTTCCACATCATTTGAGTAGCGAAGCAAAGATAATTGTCATGTAGGTTTGCTCTCAAAAATGGAAAATAAATCACATATGTATTAAGTAAATAGTGTGATGCATAAATAAATCTATATAAATACATACAAACATACATACATATGTAAATAGATCTCTGTTCATCTAACAACATCGTGTGTACAACACGCAACAACTTTCGATTTTAAAACTAAAAAAAACTGAGTTTCATTGTAGTTGTTGGCTTAGCATTAAATACATATGAACATAGATAAGCGTGATCTATGCCCATAAATACAGAGAATGAGGTGCCATTGTTGCACTCAAAGCAGAAGATATGACAAATGATGCCTAAGATAAATTGCCATAGAAAAAAATTTAAATATAAATGCACGGAAAATAAGCATTTACGTTGGCAAGTGTATATGAAGGGTGTTCTTTTAAAAACATGGTTTTTTGGAACAAATAAAATGCATGTAATTCAGTGCTAATGTTTGAAAATTTAACTTTATTATACAGATAAGGGGATATAGGGGATAATGATATGTTTTAATAATGATTTCGGGAAAATGACCTCCGTGGCAGTCTCGAATAATTTCCTAATTTTCCACAGTATATTTTGAGACCTTACAACAGGAATAACCTGTCGAATATTTTTAGTCAAGACCTCAATCGTTTCAGGCTTAACTGCGTATACAAACGATCTCACATAACCGCAATCAAAAAGTTCAGTGGTCCTGAATCGCAAAATATTTGAGGCCATCTCAAACCCACGACGGGAGTTAATGCGCTCCGCAAAAGTTTCCTTCAATAAATTGATTGTTTCGTGGGCTGTGTGGTATGTAGCGCCGACTTCGTGGAACCAAAGGTGGTCCATCCAACAACATTCTTCATTGACTGCAACGTTTAGGCCGGCTTCATGTTTGAAGAATGATGATGATCCCTTTGCCCAAAGATTTTGTCGATTTTTCACTCTTGATAAATTCATGTGACATCCAAGTAGTGAGCTTCTTCATGTAATCAGTATATTTTAAATGACCGAAACTGTTGCTAGGTTAGTTCACTAGCATAAAGTTCTGTCAACAAGCGGCCGCACCTAAGCCATATGTTATGCTAATTGTGCTCATACGCATAACCTAATTATACACTACACTTCGCTCGATTTAAGAAACTTATTTCATTTCTTCCAACCCTCTGTGTCCATCTCTCTAAGGCTGGATCTGGAGGCGCCGTGAAATATGTGACGTTTCAATCGGATCGCAATGGTAGTGCTTCAGCGTTTCGTCATCTTTTGAACATGTTCTGAACTCAGTTGATCTTTGGGGGGTAGCTCCGAGTTGTCACGTCAATATACCCACAAGAATACTAAATTCTCGTTTGGTTTGGTTTGCCTACAGTCCAAGCTCTCTCACAATAACTTATTTGGTACAACCTATGGTAAAAGTTTTTCCTCCATATTTTACTACATTCACATGAGTACGAGCCAGTTCATTCGCCATTTCATTACCTTCCCATTCGTGTGACCCGGGACCCAAGTGGTAGTTACTGTGTTTTCCCACGAAAGTCTGTTAATTCCCTCTTTGTATGTTCTTACTCAATTGGACTCAATTGCCGCTTGACTGCCTACCACATACCTGATATATCTTTCTGTTAAAGCGGCTGCCCATTTGGCATCTTGTTTAGAGCACAAAACCTCTGCTTGGAAGATGGAGATGTATTCATGGCGTTTGATGTAGAGCTCTGGTACCAAAGTGTCCAGTAGGGCGAGAAGCTCAAATCTTATTTGCATAAATAAATTTAAAATTACAAAATTCTTGTTAAAAACTCGTACTGTTGTTTTTTCAACTTACAGTTTATACCAAGCCGCCTCCGAACGGCTGATAGTTTTCTTATGAGGAGCTTTATTTCATGTCCGAAATACACTTGGAGCGGTGGACATTCCCTGCTGACGGCCGACCGCAATTTTTTTTAATTTTTTATAAAAATTAATTTTTTTCCTCGATGCTGGTCCGACCAAGACTCGAAACCCGGCATTCCGAATAGCAGTAAACAGTACTAACCAATCGGCTATCGCGGCCGCTGAGTGTGAGAGCGTTCGTTGCTCCAATATTGGAAAATGTTCGAGAAAAATTTAAAGCTACCTTGGTTATCAAGATGGCTACAGAAGAAGCATCAGCATAAATAGGTATATCTTGACAGCTTCCGAGGTTTTGAACTGTCACGTGCCTCCACTAACTCCTGGGAGCTCACAATCCAGTTTTACGTCGCCAGTAGCTGGATTTTATCGACTTTTTGAGAGGCTTGCCGACCAAAAGAAAAAGTATCTTTGGCATCGCATGAGAAATGATGATTTACCGAATCGTATTCACGAAAAATATTGCTTAAACCGTTAACTTTCAAACACGCATTGGTTTGGCTAAACTGGACAGGGTATCATACAAAAATGTCATAACCTTTATTATGTACCTCACTTGTTAGCTGATGAAAATCTCCCAAAAAAAAAACATAATTAGAATAGGGTTACTAAAAAATCGAAATGGGGCTTGCCTTTTTCCCAAAAAAAATTTTCCCACCGAATCCCCCAGGAATAATAGCGCTGTTGGTAAGGCGGTAAAAAATTATCCCACTCCATGAAACTTAAAAATTTCCTCAACATTAACTTTGAGTGAAATTTAATGAGTGACATTTGAGAGACTGTCGAGCTAAGAGCTCAACTAAGCGTATCAGCTATTTACATACTTATATATAAATGCAAATATATCTGGTATATATATAGTATTATTATAGTAATATATGTATATTAAATTTTCACATGACTTGATAAATTGGCTTCGTAGGTAGTAACGTTGCGAGTAAAATAATATGTAAAAAGTTGGCTATAGATGGGAGCGTTTTCCAGCGGCGCCTAAAGATAACCGCAGAATAGGTAAGAAATGCATTTGTCAACAAAGTAGCAGCAAAGTGAAATGTTGATTCATAGGCGTTTCATTAAAATGTATTACATACATAAAGCCAGACGGGTTTATTTGCGAAAGTACCCAGTAGGAAATGTGGCCTCTAAGATAGAGAAACGAAGAGTCTTAGTTAGGATAATTAATTTGACTATCAAAACATTTTTCGGTTATTAAATTATATACTTTTTTTTAATAAAATTTCGCCAAGGGTGATAAAGCGGTTATTGGGGGGTAAAAAGTATATTTCCATTAACTTTTTTTATCCAATATATAAAAATTATATATTTTATTCTTTCTCAAAGATATATATTAGAAAAGTATTATCAGAAATATATTAAATATTCGAAGCTTCGTCATTGTGACGTCATTTCCGGTAACCACGCAGAAAAGATCTTAGAAAAGAAAGTGATGTGTCTGCGTAGACAGTAAAATTCATGACCGGATCATCTAAATGAAAAAAGATCGTTTTTTAGTTAATGCCATAAATTAGAATTTGGATGGCGAAAAAATAAAAGAAGTGAAAACTGGTTTTTTCCGCGGACTTTTTTTAAAAAAAAAAAGATGCAAATTTCAGAATTTTGTACAATATTTTTTTTTTAATATTTTATTTATATATATTTTTTTTTTTTTATTTCGAAGATCTGTGAGAAATGTCAGCATGATCGGTTGAGTAGTTTTCGAGAACTTTTCACTACCGATTTTGAAATCACAGTTTCGAGATAAACGTTTTTAGAGCTTAAAGCGCTGAGCCTACCTGACCTTCCCAAGGCTGCTGTAATTTGTATAGAATTGATTTGAAAATTTTTGGGGTATTTTTCTTGAGTTGTGGTAGAAAATAAGACTTAAAAGAAAACTGATTTTTTTAAGCTGTGAAACTCATAAAATCCTTTAATTCCTTAACTGGGAAATCTTTTCTTGGGGTTTTTGCTTTTCTAACTTGAATATTGGGTTCATCTAAAATGCTTTAGAGGAGGGCTACTTGAGTATTTTCTTGATATGTGGAGAGTTATGAGGACCAATCGACCTGACGGCGCAGGGTCTCTTGCAATATTACGAATAACAAACAAATAACGATATATAAACTGTTATAAAAAATGCGAGGCAACATATTTTGATTGTAATCCAAGTACTTTTGGCATGTCTTCGTTTGTATTTTTATTTTAAAGCAGTGAAAAGCTTATGAACAGTAATGTCATTATTTTCCTACTGGGTAGCAACTTGATTTCAATTAACATGTGCATCATTGTAAAAAAGAAATTAATAAAAATATATAAATAAATTTCATGCTGCTAATCACAAAACCGCAAGACCGTTAGTTACGTTTAATGTATACATACATATATACATATATATTGTACATACGTATTTACAAATATGTATATATATATATATTGATTAAATGCTTATAAACACATGTCTACTGACGTATAGTTAAGACATATTGTATGCAATGAAATATTTGCAAATAAATACAAAAAAAAAAAAAAAATATTATTGACACATTTCCCATCAATGCCAATAACTACATACTTTTATATGCATGTACGTGTAGATGTGGTTTAATCGTAAATATGTATGCACGGGTATGTATATAGGAGCTTATATTAAATATCAATTTTCATTTATGAGCGCTGTGAAATTAGAACAGTGAGACCTATACATTTTTATTTCGAATCTTTCCAACGGAGTGGAGAACTTCTTCGACCTCAGCTTCCACCAAACACTTTCAAAGTCTAAGTATACTCAACCATACGGACACGAGCAAGCCAGCGCTAGAGGACCAATGCAAAAGCAATTCGAAAAATCTCAATGCGGACTAATCGGATGGGATGTTGTCATAGTTTTAGACTCTGGGCTTTAAGGTGCGACGGAAGATACTAAAGCAGCGACGATTTACGGGAGAATTGTAGAGTTTGGTTCTAGTTTGTTAAGATTTTTTTGGGACGTAAAAACCTTTTTAAAATCCACGAAGGGGTTTTGTTTGTCGATTCAAAAGGGTCTGCAGTCTTTAACACAAGACGCCAGGGCCCTATTTTATTGAGTTTTTTAAACTCAAAAGCCTAATAAAAGTCTTTCAGTTTTTCGGTGGTGGTTTGGTACCATTTTTAGGTCGCTTTATTTGCTGGAAAAACATTATAATGCACCCCAAATATTGCGCCAAGAGCTGGGCCAAAGATCGCTTCAACGGTTACAAGCGCCAATTATATATATATGTATAAGTTTTTTTGCTCTTCATTCAATGCTTTATAAAAAGTGTTACAGTGATCGGATTTAGTTAAAATATGCGCCGTTTTGTTCGATGGTCTGTTTCCATCTAGACGGCAACTTCATAATACCTTCCTCGTAGAAGCTCCCCTCCTTATTTGCGAAGAATTCGGACAGCCACTTTTCACAAGCCTCTTTTGAGTTCAACTTCACACCACCAAGGGCATTCGCCATGGACAGGAACAGGTTGTCATCAACAAAGTGTGTGGTCCGGCGTTGTCCTGGTGGAACACTACACTCTTCCTGTTGGCCAATTTTGGACGCTTCTGGTTGATCACCTGCTTCAAGCGGTCCAGGTGTGCGCAGTAGATGGTAGAATTAAGCGTCTGGCCATATGGGAGCAGCTCTGTAGCGCTTTGTACATAGCGAAATTCAAAAGACAAAAAAACGGATATTTGATAACCTAATATAAATAACGAATCAACCGCACACTGATACACCTCTGGTGAATATATACTGCTAAAAGAGTCTAGTGAACCCTTAAATCCAATATGTTGGAGAGCCTTCACTAAACATCCCTCTTTTCAGCCCAGACCCAAGACTTCACATGGGCTGGTTGCTGTAGTTCGTAAAAGGGTTACTCTTGATTCCATGGTGAAGGCAAAAAGGACGAAAGGGTAGCTTTTGAATATAGTCTCGCAAGTTAGACACTGAATGATTGAAATTATTCAAAGTTGCATTTCTAAGAATTTATTTGAAGAACTAATCAAATATTTAAAATATTCACACCTTGGCTTTAAGTTACACATACATTTGCTTTCCAGCGATGAATTGAACTGAAATTAAAGTATTTTTTTTTGAAGCATTTTTTCTATTTCAGGTAATTGCCGTCTTCCAACTAATGGTTGGTATCATTTTCTGTTCATTCCGAATTCTTACTTTCAGGCAATATCCCTCATCAGTGTCTTTGATGCCAACTCATTGCTCCAGTTATCTGTACTTTACATTTTTCTTTGGATTTTTCTTATTTTTTTTTTCGTTACTTATATGCCAAATGCAAGTCGCCTTCATCAACAAGGCGTCCACGATATGATGGCGGACTTCAAGTTGTCTGGCAGTTTGTATCTCTATTCACTACGTCAGCTGTTTCTTTTTGTGCTAATTTCCTTTTTCTCTGGCTTATCCAACAACTTGTCATTTGCCATTAGAAAAGTTTCAACGTCTACATTCTTCACTATATGTATGTGTGTACGAGTTTATGTCTGAGGGGGTGTATATGTATGTGGGGATTTTGTAAATGTAACAGTTCGCCAGTTCGTTTGTCACATGGTCGATGCTGATGCTTTCTCCACTGTCTGCCTATCGCTCAGTTGCTTCATTATTTGTTTGCTTGCTATGCGCGCTGACTGAAAGTTACTTTTGTATTTACTGGTGGATATTGCAACAACAAAAAATGTAGTTATATACTTAGATACGTATGTATATGTTAGACATATATGAAATGTATATAAAACTTACGTTATTCAAACTCTCGGCCGATGTGCTAGTGGCCTTGCCGCCTCTTATTAACACCTCCTGATCCTCCTGACCCATTTGAATTTTTTTTTTGCTCTATGGCGTTCTACTGCTTTAGTATCTACTATCCTGTGTCTCTCTTTTAGGTTATTTTATGTTTTTTTTTTTTCAAATTTTTAACAGATTTTTTTAGCAGTTTTTTTCACTTTTTTATTGCAAAATTTTTTTCTTAATTTTTTTTTTTTATTTTTCTCGTTCGGTTTTTTGTATTTTTTTTTATGTAATTGCTTGTTTTTTGCTTGCTGTCTTCTGGCAAAAAGTCGTAATTTGCTCTGCTTCAACAATTTTTCTCTATTTTTTTTATTTCTTGTTTATCTTCTTGGGCGTAAGTGGCGCAAAAAAAATCACAAAAATAAAAATAAATAAATGAAGATAAGTAGCCGAAAGTATGAACTTTTTACACTTTTTCTAAAAACTTTGCATTTTTTTTCGCGTACACAAACACACTGCGTTCTGCCACTGATGACTGGTGTAGCGAGATGTGGTGGGAGACAGGCTGCAAGGAATATTGATGCTAAATCAATTAACGGCAATTAACGGGAAGTTTACTTTCAAAACAAATTTTAACGGCACTTTTTGTTGAGCTGAGTATTTTTTGTAATTTTATTTATTTTTTTTTTTTTTGAATATTTTTTTATGAAACTGTTTTACTTAACCACCGTACATCTCGTTACAAGGGTTAAAACCTACAACAAAAATGATCAGTCAACAGTGACCACGTTTTGTGCTTTAATAGGAGATTACGGTATACATCGAACTCCTTAAACCAATTGGAAAATTTGAAAGTAATTTTAAGATACTGTTTAGTTTACAAGTGTTGTAAGGCCTCGTCGTTATTCTCGTTTCGCTCGCTCCACCTCAAATATCGAACCGTAGGTGAAAGCCGAAACTGAATGTATTTATTTCTCGAAGTTCTCATGAGCTGAGACTTTCTTAAGGCATATTAGGGCGAATACTTTTTTAAAATGTCCAGCTCAGAGAACAACCCAACCCAGCTGACCACGCACATAGCTGTGCATACGTCGTTTGGGTGAGTGAAGCCTGAACACTGGACGGCAGTTTTTTTACCAAAATTTTCTTCAGCGGCGGGGCATTCATTGCTCACTCGGGGAATACATGAAATTTGAAATATTTGTAGAGTTGCCATAACAAATTAAAGAAAATCTTACTCTATGGTGCGCTCTTTGGTCCGAAAATGTGATTTAATTTTACTTATCTGAAAATGATAGCGGCGAGAGAGACTGACAGTGTTGATTAGGAGAGTTATGGTCGTATGACAACCAATTTTTTTTGCGCTGCAATTGATGAGCACGACTCGAATAATACGTTGGTTTCAACATGTCACACAACACGAGCAAATATGGCTTTATTGCGAGAGAAATTTTCCGGCCGTGTAATCTCTCGTCTTGGCGATGGCAATTGGTCCACGCGATCGTGCGATTTGACACCGGTGGACTTTTTTTTTTTTGAGGAGCTAGGCAAGGGATCTTGTTTATGCGGGCAAACTTTTAACTCGTTAACACTTGAAAATCAATATTCGTGTAGTTATGGCTGAGCTACCGCCTAATATGTATTAAAAATTGGTCTAAATTTTGCTTAGACAAATTCGAATTTTGTAAAGTTCGCGTGGGGGTCATTTGAATGATGTAATGTTTCACAGCCAATGCTAAGATTCAAAAAAATAAAAATGAAATTTTATGAAAAAAAAATTTCTTAACAAAATTTATTTAGGTTCATTTTCTGAATTTTCTGTATTAATTTTTTTTGCATCAAAATATTTTTTACATTTTTTTAAAAAAGTATATTTTGTTTATTATATATATATATATATTTAACTATATTTTTAATATATGAGCATACTTGTATTTTTTTTATTTTTTTTTTTTTTGAAAAATGCCGTGGGCTTTAACAGTTTCACTTCCGCCTTATCTGCTGTCACTAAAAGCACTGACGTTTACCGTGAGGTGGACTTTTTTTGGGCCAGTGCGATATTATGACGTTTAAGTAGACTTAATTAATTATCATTTGGCACATTTTATTCTTGAATTTCAATTACATACTAACTCTGTGCGGTTTTTAATAATTTCAAGGCTTCACTTCACACTTTCGTTCTGAATTCTCTGTTTTTATATCAGCAAGCAAAGCTTTAAAATACTTGAATGTGTGTGTAATTGTTATATATGTATTAAGCTACTATAGCTATCCAAATGTCCTTCTCACCACCACAAATAACCTTCTAAACACACAAACGCACAACGAGCTTAAATTATGTTTCTTCCTCTCTTCTTCTTCTTCTTCTCTTTCTACTTTATTTCAACTGAAAGATTTTTTAAAGTTGAAGCAAAATTTTTTTTTTTTTCAACTATCATTCACCAGTCTAAGTCAGCACTAATTATTACGCACTAAACCGGAGTGGTACTATGTACAACCATTGACTGCAACAAACTGAGCACCGTCCGTTTGCGTGTTGAACAATAGGTGAAGAGGCATATTGTAATTGCTGCTGCTGCTGCTGCTGCTAGTAGATTAACTCAAATGATGATCAGCTCAGCGGTGTTGGGTGTTGAGTGCGACAATTGTTGGAGTTCCTTGTACTAGTAAATATGTATTTTGCTACTAAGACTTCTTAGCAGTTGTTGTTGTTGCTGCTGCTGTTGTTAGGCATTTGAGTTTTTTGTTGTTGCGTTGATATATTCCGATTACGCGTCTGGCCGTCAGTTTGTTTGTGTTGCCTTTGGCGTTGCTTATCATCTGAAATTCATTTAAATCGCTAGAGATAAGTACGCCCTGTATAGACAAGGTAGTGGGAGATAATATGAATTATCGTCTCATTTACTAATCCGCATGTCTTAGCACTGTATGTACGCTGATTGTGTATGCCTCTTCTGGGCGCATTGGCATCATTGTAGCTGGCTGCATATTGTTGAATTACTCACGTGCGTCAAAGTATTTAATTTGTATAGCAATTGCACTCATTACGCAAAAAAATTTTGAAATCAGCGAACGGGCAAGTTTATGCACTGTAGGAATTGGGAATTTGGTAGCTTTGTTTCTTCGATTAAAGTGTTTTTGAAAATTTGTATGATGTTTTAGTGGGTAATGGGTCAAGTGGTATGAAAAGGAAATTCATTTCTCAGTCAAGAGAAAAAGGAGCATCAGGATAGTCCGAAGAAAAAAAATCGTATTTTCCTTAATTCCATAGATGAGAGTTAAAACAAAGGAAAACAATAAAAATCAGGGAATAATAAAAGAGGAAATCTGTTGAAAGTTTCATGGAGAAACGTCAAAGCGATGGAAAAAACGTTCCATTACCTGACTATTACAAGGTTCGAATAGCGATTGCCCGCTTAAAGAACAACAATGGAGCCGACTACTCCGCTCTGTCCAATCCACAAAAAGGGCGATCCCACAGTCTGCCCCAATTACCGCAGCGCACATAAAGTTCTATCAAACGTAATGTGTGAAAGTATTCCTTCGGTCAACTAGCTGATTTGACCTCATCAGTGTGGCTTTAGACCTGGACCGTGAGAAAAAAATTTATACACATTACCTTTTCATCAGAAGCTGATGAACGGACGCTATACAAAACCAGAAGCAGAATTGGGAGGGACCTCTCTGAGTCGTTCGATATCAAAAGAGGTTTCAGTCAGGCTGACTCGTTATCGTGAAATTCCTTCATTTTGATGCTGGAGAAAATAATAAGAGCGTTTAAATCTAGTTCACCGCCTGGTACGTAATCTCCTCCCTTCCCCGATGCAATGCATATATATATGCTATAATTTCTTCCAATTCTCGAAACATTTTTTATGTTCAACTGCTTTAATACCCTTCATTTGTTTTAAATATTCTCGTTGAATCTCCTCAATCCTCTTAAAACGATCAAATAAGGTGGTAAAAAGAGTCATTTTAGCTCTTCTCTACTCTGTTACTTCTACGTAAAGGATATTGGTCTTATTTTCCCATATCGCTAGTAATGGTTTGTTTATTTAAACTGCAGTTGATTGATATCTCACGTCGAAAGTCCACCCACTAATACATGTAGGTGAAAATCAGGCAAATGTATTGTAGGTGTCCCTGACAGCTCTTTCCTCATCCACACATTGCATCGCAAATAAGAGAATGTGTGATGCTTTTAGTGCTTTGTGTACAAGTTTCGTTGTTGTTGCCATTGTTGTTTTGCAATCACTTGGCGTTTATATGATTTATGACCGGCGCTGTCCATTGACCATTACGGTGAATTATTGCATCCTGCATAGAGGGGAATTATGTTGTTGTTACTAAAGCCACTTCTGCTTCTACCATCGCCGCTGCCACATCGATACACAATTTATCAATCACTGGCGTTGCAGACAGCACAATATAAGAACAACAAATATTGAGAATAGTAAATAGATGAAGTCCGCAAAAAGGACAACAAAACACGTGAAGCGACATTCGGTCCTTCAAAATACTTGTTTTTAGCCCAAATTTCCCAAAAGCATTTGGAAAATAGCTGAAACTCGTGTTGCAACTTTAAAATGCTGAGCGGACAAGAGTATGTGTAATAATTAAGGCGTTGACAGTGGTTTGAGATACAAAAAAAATTTTTGAAATGTAAATGAATGAACATAAAATGAAACAAAACAAAATAATACAAAATAATATAAAAAAAATAATATAAAAAAAAAAATAATATAAAATAAAAAAAATAAAATAAAATAAAATAAAATAATATAAAATAAAATAAAATAAAATAAAATAAAATAAAATAAAATAAAATAAAATAAAATAGAATAAAATAAAATAAAATAAAATAAAATAAAATAAAATAAAATAAAATAAAATAAAATTAAATGATAATGAATAATAAAATAACATGAAAAAATAAAATAAAATATTTGTATGTATGAATTGGAAAAAATGTGCCATAAAATTATTTGATATTCTCCCCATTGTACTTCTCTTGTTTTTGTGGTACGGCAACTTTTGCTTTTATTATTATTGTTTCTACTATGAAATATGACTGTTATCGCTTTCCCAGACAACAGCAAACACTCACACTCGGTGTACATGAAGTACAGTCCTGGCAGCGAATGGCTTAATTGCCATTCATTCGCGCATTAG